CTTAAATTGATTTTTCCATACATTTCTGCCATATGTACATTAACTGACAGTCACCACTGATAAGCTACCACTAAATATTGTAGAAACTTCATTTGCTGTAAAGTTGCTTTGCAATGATTTGTATCGTGAAAAGCGCTGTACAAATAAACTTGACTTGACTTATCCTTGTTTTGTGCTTCAAATTCATGACCGGCATTCTGTTTTGTTCTCTCTCCGCGTTCGTCACTAATCACGCAATGCCGATGTCCTACGTCATCCGCGTATGACAGATATCGGAAGTGATAGAAAAGTGTTTTTTATGTTTGAAATATGGATATTTTTCTGACAAAAATGCATGGATTCGCTATAAGAGGCCTTCATTCACCCCCGGAGCCGTGTGAGGCACGTTTTATTACGGATGCGCGCACTTTATTTAACGTGTTTTGGACTGTTGAACTGAAACACCCGCCCACTGCAATGATAGAGCTTAGAAGTGCCAGGACAATTTTTAATATAACTCTGACTGGATTCATCTGAAAGAAGACAGTCATATACACTTAGGATGGCTTGAGGGTAGGGATGCACCGATACTGAGCTCCTGTACTCGTACTCGTTAAAATGCCCCTGTGTGCCTGTCTGCTACGCCACTGGGCAGACAGCACATTGTCTGTTTCGTCGCTTGGGCTGCCTTGTTGAGCACAGTGGCTAGGGTTGTGACAGTGAGGAAATTTTCCCAACGGTTAATCGACGTGTGACAACACGGATAATACCGGTATCCCCGTGGGGCACGGGCGTTCCCTCTTTTCCTCGCTTTCCTTCGCTTTTAAATAGCTTGTAAAAGCGGAGTGCGCATTTTAAAACAAAATACTATGGAACGATTTTCCGGACAATTTTCAAATAGAATAGCAAATTGTATTTTCAATTGCGTTTTCAATATGTGGACGCATGAAGTGTGACAATCCAAATGCAATTGCAAATCCTGCATTAGCGTTTGCATTTTCGCTTTCGCGAACGCACAGTGACTGCCAAATTTCAAATGAAAAACCAAAGTCCATTTGCAACTGTATTTCCCATGTCTTAGGAGTTACGAGCCTGTCATATTTAAATAGCAATATTAATTACCAGTCTGCTTTTTCACTCTCGCTGCGTCGCGCTAATAAAATAACAAATTACTTAGGCTACACAAAGTTTAAATAGGTACGTATATAAAACTGAAAATCAGCAAACACTGTGGAACCAAATAAATAAAAAACATAGAATGTTTATTAGCAAAACTAATAAGAAAGCTTGAAGGCACGGCATACACCTTGATGTCAAATGAAATAAATAAATCACACAAAGTTTAAATAAAGTAAAAATCAGCAAACATTTTTAAAACATTAAAACATTTAATTGTGGAACCAATTAAATAAGATTTTATTTTTTTTTTTTACTTCCAAAATCACCTTAGATAAACGGCAAAAGTCAACAGGCTTTTCAAAATCCAAAATACTGCCAAACAGGCGCTTTTGCATTTTGTTTCGAACTAAAACATCCGCCATCGTCTTGTCTGTCTCACCTCACTCTTCTTGTCAGTCAGCTCGACTTACTCTCCTCACTGGATAAATGCAATCTGATCTGTGATGCGACTGTCGTTCGGCACGCTGCATTGAGCAGCCGCGTTCAGTTTTTAATTGTAGTGTCTGTTCTTTTACTGAACTAAATTATTTTTATTACTATAAAAAAATCAAAACGACGGTGGGGGTCGGTGCCGCGGTGGGCAAGTGACGTAACCGGTGTTGCGGCTTAACAACGGTATCACCCTCAGCACCGTCTATCGCGGCCATTCTAACAGTGGCACTGAGAACATTATATTTCACACACTTTAGCCCTTTTATTTTCCAGATGTAACAGGATTAGTCCAATGAATCGTTCGGTTTGTAATGTGTACTGAACCGAAAGCCTCGTACCAAACAGTTCAATACGAATGTGTATCGTTACACCTCTAATACTTACAATAATATTTATTTTGCTTCAGATCTTTCTTTTGGTAATAATAATATTCATAATATAAATAATCATTATTATTATCATAGTCATTGATATATAAATCCCAAAAACTGAGGCCAAATTATGCAGCACTAAAAATAAGCACAGCAAACCTAGAACTATTTTTAAAACTGCATTTTAATTTGCATTTTTTTTATCAGAAATACTTAACTACTAGGAAGATTGCTAAATTTGATCCAAAACTGTCAGCAATGGCACCAATAGGCAGTGACCATATTGTGTGATTCTGGTATGCTGGGAGATTGAAACAGTAAATATGTTCCAGCCAAACTTGATGTAATAATACATTTCACAGCATGAGCAGCTGCCTTATGTAGTTTTAACCCACATTAAAGGGGTCATATGATGTTGCTAAAAAGAACATTATTTTGTGTATTTGGTGTAATGATATGTGTTTATGCGGTTTAAAGTTTAAAAAACACATTATTTTCCACATACTGTACATTATTGTTTCTCCTCTATGCCCCGCCTTTTTGAAACGCGTCGATTTTTACAAAGCTCATCGGTCTGAAAAGCGAGGTGTGCTGTGATTGGCCAGCTATCCAGTGCGTTGTGATTGGCTGAATACCTCAAGCGTGTGTCGGAAATGTTACGCCCCTCACCATACTGTGATGCCCTGTCCGGCCGGAGCGACGAGACAAAAACATTAAAACCCATTACAAACGAGGCATTTGTTGCATCTAGTGGGGACATAATTACTGATTATAATGACTTATACTGTCTTTTTACGCGTTGCGTTGCATCGCGCCGCGTAAACATAAAACCCTGTGTAGCGTCTGGACCAATCAAACACACAATTTTTCATCTGATTTAACAAATCACATGGCAACCGATACATTTACGACCTAATGGAATGCAAAGCAGGGAAAATCACTGCATGTTCCATCGCAACCATCGCAAGGCACAGTAGAAGTGGACTTTTCTACTAACTAATTCATAGGAAAACCTTTCTTTGAATGAACACACATATCCTTCAGGTCATGGTGTATATTATT